CTCATAAACAATCTGAAGCTGGGGTAAGCACAGATGATATTTCAGTTACAGCCATAAAGCTACCCAGCACCTGGATTTCTTCAGAATTCTGAGTTCACTCCCTGTCTCGCCCCAACATTCTATAGGAAGTGTTTGTCCTAGAACACCCTGGGAACTCTGTCTTTTTAAGAGGTAAAATAGCACCTCCCAGTGTCCTGCGCCCTTGATAGAATCATCTAGAAAGAAGAATGTTTTCAGTGTCATAAAAGAGAAAAAAAAAAATCTGTTCTTAGTTTGGAGACTGCATTTTAAGGTTTAATTTGAAGACAGTTGGTTTTACAGTCAAATCCTGAACTTTTAAAATAATTTTTTCATGGAAATGTTCATCAGTCAAATGAAAACTACAGCTGGAGATGAGCTACACTGAGCTACTCCTACACCATTTTAACAAGACCTGACAGATGGGATTTTTTCCTTCATCAATAAGTTTATAAATACGACCCTTAGGAATATCAAATAAAGTAAATCTAGTTTTTGAAATCTGTTTGGCATTAACAACTGATTTAAATATATTTTAAAGGAAACTGAAAATCTGAAACAATTTAGTAACTCACACCTGTAATCCCAGCTCTTAGAGATAGGACAAGAAGACGGCTGAAGTTTCCAGGCCAGCTTGATCTACACAGTGAGTTCCAGGCTAGCCAGGACTTCCCAATGAGACCCTATCTCAAAGCAAAGCAAAAGAAAGACCCCCAGAACAAACAAAAAGTCTGTAACAACTCACAAAACCAAGTCACTTCTCTGCAAAACTGGAGCCCATTACCGAATATCTGCTTAGCTGGGAGGCCACCAACAACTGAGTGCGGCATTTTAAGCATTCCTCCCGTGCTTCCTACCAACCCAGTGCAGTCCTCAGCCAGATCCTGAGAATGCTAGCACATGTTCAAGAATTCTTGCTCTCCTTTCTCCTCATGCTTCCCAATCCCACCCAGGCTGCCATACAAACATCAAACACCAACCAGCAAACCAGACAGAAACCCATACCTGATAGGATGGTACTAATGACACACATTGGCTCTCTATTTTAGTTTTATTTTTTATTTAAATTTTTGTTTTACATTTGTTTGTGTTTGAGTGTGAACATCACAGCATACCTGTGGAGGTCAGAGGACAACTTACAGAAGTCAGTTAGTTCTTCCTTCCTACTATGTAGGTTCTGAGGAATCAAACTCAGGTGCCAGACTTGTTTGCCACATGGTCTAACTATGGGGCCCAGGCTGGCCTCAAACTCAGCCCACCTGCCTTTGCACCCTTGCATTGGAATGGCAAATGTGTGTCACCCTGCTATACGTTCTCTTTAATAGTTCATATGTTTAGGCTTGGGGTGGGGGAGGTACTATTTTAAAACAGTAGTTCTTAGACCAAGACCTCCAGTTATTATTTAAATCACATTCCCACTATAAGTAACTACCAAAGATGAGACTTAAATCGAGAGCAAAGGCAGGCCTTGAGCCACACACTAATGTCAGAATCAAATGCCCCTCACTCCCCCCCCACCCCCACCCCAAGGCTGGAAAGCCACAGGTCCAAAAACTGTCCTTTCCTAAGGGAGACCTTTAAGGAAGGCAGTGACTGTCTTCTTTGAAATTTAGGAAAATGCAGTTTCCCCACTGTCCAATAATAACCATGGGCCCTGGGGAGTCTGTGCAGTGACCAGAGGCGGCAAATGCATGTTCCTTCCCTGCAGAATTCCTAAGAGCAAGTAGCTAAAGAGGATAGGGCAGGCCACCCGCAGCAAGGATCTGCACCTGAGCAACCGGTACCTCCTCTGCACCCACCCCTCTCGCAGTTCCCCGTATTTCCCACTGGAGAGTCAGAATGTACACTCCATTGGAGAATCGCAGAGGTGATCAACCTAACCGAAAAAGCAGTGTGTGTGTGTGTGTGTGTGTGTGTGTGTGTGTGTGTGTGTGTGTGTGTGTATGCGCGCGCGCCTGTTGATGCAAGAGCATGATTCTTCCAGGTGTAAGACCACTTAGAGAAAACCCTCCAGAGGAAGGAATGTTCTACCCCAACCGGAAGAAATGAAGGGCTTTGGCTGCTGGAGAAGTGTAGAGCTACTCTTGGAGTCTCTAACTTCCGTGCAAAGGCTTGAACACACAAGAGTGAAGAATATTTCCAGGGAGACAGACAATGCTGGGGAGGGGGCTGGGGCTGTCTGGGGGACTTTAATGTTTAAAAAATAAAATAAAATGGGAGAATAGAGTCAGGAGGCAGGATGCAGTTCATTAGTAATGGAAAGTGCTAGCACTCAGCATTCCTGCTTCAGATAACTGCCAGTAGACAGAGAGCTTCATATTCTAAACCCAGGCCTACTTCATTCAAAACCAATTTCCACTCAAGGACTATGTTACCCTAACCGATTTAGAGATTCCTAGGGTCTGCATTGGTTATCTGTAGGGTGGACAAGAAATGCAAACTCCTGCTCTGAAACATGACTGTTTTCATTCTTCAGCCAGAAAAATCCTATGTAGCCAAATACTGGCACACAAACAAAAAGTACTTGTTAATTAAATTTAGGGGGAAAAAACCCCACTATTCTCACAATTAAGTTGACAGAGTCTAGACATTAGCCAACATAAAGTATTTGCCTAGTGAATGGCAAGCATTAAGCAATGCCAAATTTACTTCCTAATTTTAGCATCACCACCAATTATCTTTCTTTCCAACAGTACTGTTTTATTATACCTTCCAGATGAAACAATAACATTTGGCTTCAAAGCACTGAGGAACAGTCAAGTAGCATTCAGGGACATGAGCAGCCCAAGCAGATCCTTAAAAACTCGGGGTGCCCAGAGAACCCAGGTAACAAAGACATACAGGGGGCTGGTGAGATGGCTCAGTGGATAAGAGCACTGACTGTCCTTCCAGAGGACGAAGGTTCAATTCCCAGCATCCACATGGCAGCTGACAACTCTCTGTAACTCCAAGATCTGACACCCTCACACAGACACACATGCAGGCAAAACACTAATGTGCATAAAATGAGAGAGAGAGAGAGAGAGAGAGAGAGAGAGAGAGAGAGAGAGAGAGAGAGAGAGAGAGAAATGGATCCCTTAGGAAGGGGGAAAAAGATCTCCTGAGTAAGTTGGGAGCATGGGCATAGGAGGGAAGGTGAAACAAGGAGAGAGGGAAGAGGAAGGGGAGTGGGGGGGAAATGAATAGTTCAAATAAAAATGGCTAAAACAAACAAACAAAAACCCACTTGGGGTGCCCTTCAGAAGATGGCACAGAATGAAAGTAACAGTGGCTCTACCACTGGATGAGGTAACTTCTTTGAACTACAGCTGTTTCAGAGGAAATCACCCATCGATGGGCTTTTTAGAAAGGTGGAGATTTCTGAGATTTTCTACAGTGTCCACAAAGCTGACCCACTCCCTCTGTGGACAACTGGACATCTACCCAATTGCAGAACAGATTTAGAAAAGACAATGTAAATACAGTGACTTTATCAACTATCATCCTTCAAGCATACTATTTTAAAGTAGTATAGACTATTGCTTAGAAGTTTTTCACACGTTATTACAAACATGAAATAAATACAGCTGGTCTGGATTTCCCAATACAAACACGACATCCTTACCCCCACGTTGCCCTCTCCCACAAAACTCCCCAATAACTTTCGTGTGCGTTTAGTATAGATTTACCAGATCCAATCCCTCCATTCCACTCTACAGTGGGCTTTAAGAGCCCAGGGCAGGCTATTTACAACATAGCATTTAAAATAACAAGGTATTTTATTGTAAGCGTGTTCCCCGCCCACCACTCAGAGGACCGCCTACCAAAGCTGTGATTTGCTAAGAAATACCGACAGCTCCAATTTACACTTAACTATTCCAACTAGATGGAGAGGCTGAAGAATAACTCGGTTCAAAACTTCTGTGATTCTGTAACTCAGTTCTAGTAACTCTGTACAGCAGCCTCTGTTGGTATCATAGGAAGCTGACATTTTGAAATGTGGTAAAAGCTAAGCAATTTCAAGAGAACCACGGTGGATTCGTCCTACAGTCTTCTCTATACCGGAGTAACGAGACAAAATTTTACGTGAGGGTCAATACTGTAATGTCTCGTTGATTACAGTTGAGTTAAAACAGGCTTTCTAAGCAGCGTCTACATTCCTGAACTGGAAGATTTTTGTTAATGCTTTATTACAACAGTTGCGCGCGGGGAGAGAGGAGGCGGGGGTTATCATAAAAAGTGGCCTAGTCTCCAGAGTTAGCACTCAAAACTGGGGAGCATCATTTACAGACCGAACCTGGGGTTAAACTAAAACTAAAGCGCAAGGTTTCGTACAAATCCCCTAATAAACAGTCACATTACTGACACGCTGGAAAAGTTTAAAGAAGTAAAAGTCCTCCCTTAAACTTTTTGTCAACAAAATCTGCACGTCCAGTTCTCTCCCGCTCACCCACAGGCGTTTGTTGTCAGCCAGCGCCTCGAGCACGAGGCCGGTAGCCGAGGTCGCCCCGGGTGAGACCCGGGCCCCGCAGCGGCTCCTGCGTGGGTGACCCGGGCTGGCGAGCAGCGCTGCGAACTCGGGCCGCCGAGTCGCGCCAGGGAGGAGCAGCGGAGGCCGGCCCCGGAGAAGTCAGCTCCGGAGAGGCGTTACGCAACGACCCCGCAGCGACCGCCGGACGGCGCGGCCCGGGACAGGACACCCGGACGGGGCCGCGCAGCCGAGGGCCCGGGGGACGGCGCGCAAGGCCGCGAGCGCGCGTGGCTGACGGCGCGGCGCCCGGAGGCCCAGGCTGGGCGGGGTCGGCGCCGCGGGACCCGGGGTCTCGGCCTCCGGACGCCGCCGCCGAACACAACAAAGCCGCCCCGCCGCTGCCACCCACTGCCCCGCGCCCGCCCGGTGCCGGCCCGGTGGACTCTCCGCGGCCCGCAGGGCGGCTCGACCGCGGGACCGGGCGGGCGGAGCCCGGTCCCGACAAACTTCCCGGCCGCGGCCCCAACCTCACCTCCGGGAGCGCTCTACACCCTCGGCGGCGTCCTGGCCCGCGGCTCCGGGACCTCGCGCGCCGGGAGACCGGGCGCCGGCGGCGGCAGTGGCTGCTGACCCCGGAGGGTCGGGGGAGCCCGGGGAAGCGGCGGCGGCGCTGGCTGAGGCGGCTCCATCTTCCCGGGGCGCTCACGCCACGGTTCCGACGCGCAGACCCGAGCGGGACATTCGCTACATTGTTGGCATTCCACGGGCGTCACGTGACCCCTCCTCCCGCGTCACTCCCGGCCGCATACCAGCCCGGGCGGGGCGCCCGCGGCCTTGCTCCCCGGCGCCCGCTCCGCCCCGCCGGCCGCTTCCTGCACCTCCCGGCCCGGCCGCCACCTGCCCTGCGGTGGAAGTCCGCAGCCCGGGAGCGTCGGTTCTCCCGAGCGCCTCGGACTAGTCGGTTAAAAAAGTAAGTTCATGGGCCCCGCTGCAAGCCAAGAAAAGCAGCGTCGGCTCTTGAGACCGAAGCATCGAATAAAAAAACCAGGGCGCCCTGACAATCTCAGCTTAATAGGACGCAATTTAACCAGCTCCCTCCCTGGGCACATTTTATGGAAAGTGCCTTATGGTTTTATAGAACAGAACAATACGGACCAACCAGTGAGACTGGCGTTTACACTCCCAGCCATTCCTTTAGCCTCCATTTGGGGATTTGGTCCAGGGACAGACGCTGAGAAGCAATAACAGCGTGGAAGCCAAGTCCTCCATCTACTATTGGCTCTCTAACATCACACTTCCCACCACCTACGGTCTGTGGTAAGTGATGGTGAGGACTAATGGTTTTAAAAGTCAACCTGGTTTCCTCTTTAATTAACAATCGTGACATTTGAAGTTTCAATTCCAGAAGAAACAATAACGAAGATCATTTGTTCCAGCTTTTCTTTTATTTTTGTACTGGGGAAGGAACTCAAGCCCTCTCTCCTGCTAAATTCAGGCTGTCTTACCAGATGAACCCTTGTCTGGACTGTTTCATAACTGCCTCATCAGCCTTTAGTCCTGAACTCCCCTCCCCATACATCAAACCCAAAAACCCCTCAAGTCTTCTTCCAGAGAATTTCCCCAGAGTTCTCATTTCTCCATCCTTTGAACTTTTGTAAGTAAGCCTCCTGCAGATTAGCATTCATTTTTTGACAGTTTAACCCTGTGTACTTAACACTGACATCTTGCACGGTGATGGGAACCCAATGCATCTCCAACAATTTAGCCTGTAAAAGAGGAGCCCGACTGGCTGGCACTCACCTGCGTAATTCCTCCCTCAGAGCCAAGCATACTGGCAGCCTTCACTGTGTTTAAAGTTCTTGCCTCTTGCTCTTTAAAGGTGTAAGAAACATTGAACAAACCAGCAGTTAGTGATACACACCTATAATCCCAGCACTGGGAGGCAGAGGCAGGCACATCTGGGTTCGAGGCCAGCTATAAAACAACCATGGCTACACAGAGAAACCTGTCTCAAAAAAAATAAGAAAAGCAACAAAACAAACAAAAGGAAGAAAAACTTTATTCAATTGAAAAATGCTATAAAGTGGTGTTTTGGTTTAGATTGTAAATGCCCCTCAAAAGTACTGTATTCAGAGGTGCTGAGGTAGTCCACGCCTTTAATCCCAACACTGCAGAGGCAGAGGCAGGCAGATCTCTGAGTTTGAGGCCAGCCTGGTCAACAGAATGAGTTCCAAGACAGCCAGGAATACACAGAGAAACCCTGTCTCAAAATGAATAAATAAAATAAAAAAGAAAAGTACTTGTATTGTTGATTTGACTTCCAACCTGAAGCATATTGGGAGCCTAGTGGAAGTTAAATCATGGTGTAGGACCCCTTCCTGCCTTTTGCTTCCGGAGTACCTGTGAGCTGAGCAGTTCTATCATATCAAGAGAGCAAAGCCAGCCAGACACAGACACAGACCTGGAACCTAGGCACCACTTCACTTCTTACAGATGGCCCCTTTGGGAATACCTAATCCTTTTTTTTTTTTTTTTTTTTTTTTTTTTTTTTTTTTTCCACTTAGGGCTGGATAGATGGCTTAGCAGTTCAAAGCACTTGCTATACAGTTCCTGCATCTACATTGGAAACCTCACAAATGTGTGTGATTCCAGTGCCAAGGGCTCTGATGCCTTGTTCTGGCCTCTGTGGATGTGTGTGTGTGTGTGTGTGTGTGTGCACGCGCGCACAAGTATGAACTAAATCTAAAAACTTTTTTTCAGTTGCAGTAACTATTATGATGCTGATTATAATAGTGAAAAGTCAAGAACAACTTGAGTGTGCAACAGCAGAGAAGGACAATTTACATGGTGGTATACCTACAAGAACTAAGAAATTGGCTTTATTTCTTTCAAAGGATAAATCAGAACTAGTGTGGAATGAAGAAAAGCAATTTGCAGAACTGAATACATTATGATACCATATTCAAAAATAAACAGAGCCTTTGTTACCTATACTAATCTCATATTTTGTGTGAGTGTAAACTCTTACACACCAAATTCATGACAGCTAAGGCCTGTATAGAAGGAGTCGAAATTGGACTGAGAGAAAATTCTTCAACCTGATCTATAGTGCTTGACTGCTTTAATTAAAAACATGAAGGCAGGTGCTAGAGCACTGGCTCAGTGGTTAAGAGCACTGGCTATTCTTCTAGAGCTTGATTAGGGTTCCATTCCCAGTACCTACACGGCAGCTCATAGCTGTCTGTGATCTAGCCCTCTTGCTCAAACTATATATGCAGGCAAAAATGTCAATGCACATAAAAATAAATGTATCTTTTATATGTATTTTTAAGGTTTATGTGTATGAGTGTTTTGCTTGAATGTGGGTGTTGCACCACATGTGTGTCTAATGCCCATGGATGGAGGCCAGAAAGGGGCATTGGATCCCTTGGAACTAGGATGGCTGTGAGTCACAAAGGTGGTAGTACACTATTTATGCCTTTAATTTTTAAAATACATGTATTTGAGACTAGAGACAAATTGAAAATAAATGTTCAAAACAGTCAGAAGACACTGCAGTGCGGGCCCATAATCCCAGCACTCATGAGATGGAGGCAGAAGCATCAGAAGATCTTCTAAGCTACATAGTGAATTCTAGTCCAGCTTTGAGGCCAGAGAGACCCTATCTTTAAACTAATAATAATATAAAATATAGTCTCTGAATATAGATTTTGGTATATTGATAGTAGGATAGCCCACAAAGAATATTTTTGAATTAGCAAATTGTATACACTCACATGATGTATGTAGCTCAGGAGAGACAGAGAACACAAGGCCAATGGAGCACAACATCCTCTTCATGACAAAATGGTCATGTATAGACCGATACATTATATGTGCCGGCAGTGCTGTAGCCCTCTCTCACCCAGTGATGCTCTGGTGCTTCCGAGTGAGCTGCCTCGTCCAGTCTTCACAGTAGCTGTGTTATCAGTCCTTTCTGATAGAAACCCGACAACCTCGAAGTGCAGAGAGCCAAGTAATTTGCCCAGGATCAAAGAGCTGGGATTTGAATCTTGGGAGCCCCAGCTGCAGTGGTGCTTAGGAGCCCTGAATTACTAGGCTCTCTTCACAAGAAACCATGATTACAATGTACTGAGAGATATGGAACATGCCAAATTAACCCCTTTACGCTCTTGGTGTTGTTGCTTTGTTGTGTTGCTAGAGGTAGAAGCCAGGGCCTCCCAGGTGCTAAGCAGGTCCTCTGCCACTAAGATATACCTGAAGACAGGAGTGTGCCCGAGAGAAGGCATGTGTGCCAAGGGAGGAGGGGAGCACTAAAGCCCATGTCCCTAGCATGAGCAGAGCAGAGACAGCCATCATAGACCTGGCTAACACTCACAGTTCACTTGCCAGTGAGGCTTCTGAAATAAAGATAGGATAGTTTAGGCATCCATCCAAGCAGAATATCCCCTAAGACTCACACACTGCTCATGTCTCTGAATGGAAAAAAAAATCTGATTATTCACTCAGCCTCTTCAAAGGGTAGGTGTTAGGCGAGCAGGCTCAGGTCTTCAGGCAAATGCTTGTCTCCTTATTTGTCAGCAATGTGATGGAGACTCATGAAATCTGCCACCAAAACTTGGTTATCTCTTTCCAGTCATAAAAATGCAGAGCAGGATCAGATCACAAAAGACCCGGATGACTAGGAAGAAGGCATGCCACACAGATTCTTTTCACTTTGGAGTTGGGTTAGCCCCATATGTTTTGTCTCATTAACCAGGCCACAGCTTCCTCCACAACAGGAAACTATAAAGAACCTCTTAACTGACAAGCACAGCAGATACACTTTAAAGCCATCTTTAGTATGCCAAACATCAAAGTTGAAAGCATTAACCATTTCTGGCCAGGTGTGGGGGAGCAAACCCAAAGTCACAGCACTGGAGATGCCGGGGTAGGAAGACTGAGAGCTCCAGGCCAGCCTAGACAGTGGGAAGAGACCTGCTTCTCTGAGACAGCTCAGGAGAGCTCCTTCTCCATTCTTTGGCTATTTTGGTTCTAAAAATGTTTAGAACTTTGAGAAGAAAGCTAATCATATTGCCTTTGCTAGTCTAGGTGATCTGTTTCCACGATGCATTTGAACTCCTTTTTAAAACTTAAAAAAAAATATATTTATTTATTTTGGGTTTTCAAGACAGGGCTTCAATGAGTAGCCTTGGTTGTTTTGGAACTCTAGACCAGGCTGGTCTTGAACTCACATAGATCCTCCTGCCTCTGCCTCCTGAGTAGTAGGATTAAAGGTGTTTCACCTACATGTATGTCAGTGTACCGTTTGCATACAGTGCCAAATGAGGCCTAAAGAGGGGGGCCAGATCCCCTGGAGCCAGTGTTACCAATGGTTGTAAACCAATGGGCAGTGAAAACTGACTTTTAACCCTGATGACAAATCAAAACGTTTATAGGGCACTCTATCTGCAGAGAATTGCTTGGGGTATAGAGAGCACTACCCATGTTTTGGCAAACAGAAGAAGATAGAGTATAAATGGAAAATGGAGAAAATATTGTTGCCCCTCTGTGACTTCCTCTGCCATTGTTTTGTCTCCCTCAGTTAGGCCATCAGATACTTGTTTTCTGGCTGTTGGGTGTGGTGGCTCAGGCAGGCCTGTAACCCCAGCACATGGGAGGTAAAAGCAAGATGCTCAGGA